GAAGACGAAGGAGAAGTAGTAGTAGAAGAAGACGAGAGACGAACGAAGAAGAAGTAGTAGAAGAAGAAGAAGTTAATAGAAGTTAGTAGAAGAGAAGAAGTAGTAGAAAGTAGAAGAACGTCATATTTACTAAACAAACGGGAAGGGAATGGGACAAGGGAAGAAGTGTAACGAGTAGGGGGTTCTAGTGATTTTGCATATTTTCTTCCGTTGCTTAGGGGAGAGCTAAGTGAAATTTCGTGACTTGTGGTAAGTAATTAGATGCTAGTAGTGCTAGATATATTTAGTGCATATTTGGCTCCAATTTTCTCCTGTGGGTTCACATCTGCGTAATTTATAGGGAGCTTATTTTGCATATTTCGTTAAAAATAGATATTTATCTAACAAATACGTAAGATCATTCAAGTTCTGTTGGATAACGGTGTTAGACACTTTACGTATTCTTCTTGGCATTTGGCTCTAAACCAGGGTTTCTAGGATCCTAGAACGGTTTCCGGTTTTTGGAGTTAAAAACTATACAGATGGTGTTCAAACGCTACCCCGAGACTTTGCGGTTGAATATTTTAGATGTGGTTTTTACCAAATCCTTCAGTTTTGAACACTTAAAGCGCATTGGTGGCCAGTCTTTGCGGACTTCTGTTCTTAGAGACGGGTCGTTTTATAAAGATTGAATTAGCATGTGAAGACGGGAATCTCGTCTATACCTGCTGCCCTATGGCTGACAGCCCGGCTACGGGCCTGCCTTCCAGCGGTGGTCGAGCCTCTTGGCCACGGGAAAAGGGGTTTCGTGTGGTTTAAGCACGAAGACATACCCTCACATGACTATATTCTGGTCTCATAACCTTGGGGTAGACGGATTTCACATCGTCACACGGCAATAGATATTTAGGAGATATTTAGTACAGGATAAGCGCACAGGTTATAACTTTGGCCCTGTGGAAATCGAGACTCCGTAGAAAAGCGAGCACGGTAACCAACAGTCACCGAGGGCATATCGCGACTCCCGGTTGGCGACTCCCGGTTGGCGACTCCCGGTTGGCGACTCCCGGTTGGCGACTCCCGGTTTGCGACTCCCGGTTCGCGACGCCCTGGTCATGGCGACCAGGGGTGACATCCGGGTCGCGACACGTGCGTATTCGACGAGTGCTTTCCGCCGCATGCCGAAGCCGGCCGAAGAGACCCACCTGCAGCCACTCCTTGTGTCCCTGCTGGCGGTAGGCCACCACGCACTTGCGGTGGTCCTCCTCCATCTGCTCGCGCTCGCGCCAGCGCCGCTCCCTGCGAGGAAAGCGCCCCCCCCCGCAAATGAAGGACTATCCCACTTTGACCGAGTTCTCAGATATCAAGCATTTTACTAAAACTTTCGTTGTATAACTCAGTACGCTTTTCGACACTTGCAAAAAATCCCACACTATTTAAAAAGCACATTACACTAAAAGAATAATAGTTAAGTTTCATTTACTTCTAAAAACACAATTTCCCAAAAAATGTTTTACTAAGCCTTTCAAATGAAAAACTTAATGTATGGGGCTCTCTAGACACCTGCTTTTTTTGATTTTCATTCCGCATCCAAGCGATATTTGGGCTGTGCTCCTTCCTGCGGACTGGAAAGCTGAATCACAAAATATCTGTTTTTCATTCTTAATTGCAGAAAGTGATTAATAATGAAGTTTTGATAGAATTATAAACAACGTGAGTAAATTGGACGCAAATATACATCCCACACATACAAAGGCATATCTTCGGAGTGCCATGGGTTCCACTCGCAAGGATGCTATCTATAGTATACCCGCTAAAACAAATAACTACCCTAAGTTGAAGTATTCTAACTGGGGACGCAAACTCAGTGCTTGTCGTGGGCAGCTGAATACCTAGATAACGCTTCTGCACACATCTCACATTCGGCGAGCAGGCTGCTGGAAATTTTAAGATAAGTTCCAACATCAGAAGCCATTTTTCAGCCATATTGATTCCTTTCACTTACTGCGCAAATACATTCAATTAAAATATCTTTAGAACTGCAGTGTACTTGAAGCAACATACGAATTGTTTTTGCACAATGGTTCAACTAAAATTAAGTGTGAAATGTACTCAATGTCGCATCTAACATGATTTCTCACCCGTTATTCCTAACATGAAGCAAATGATTGTAAACTAAAACTAATCATATTGAATTCCCATGGCATGAATGAGATATTTCCTGGGCAACTGATTTAATTGAAAATTAAATTGTCTTTTTTTTTTAATTTTCAAAAATATTCCCAATGAGGGAGATGGCTCTTGGAGCCGATTTGCATGCTGATACTGCGCGGAAGTGATGCGGTGGAAAGCGAATTGCTCTGTGGCGTGTGTGCAGCGGAAGGGGGAGGAAAAGAAAGAGAAAAAGAAAAAAAAACTTACTCCTCCTCCTGAGCTTCGTGGCGCTTCTTGTCTTCGTCAGCCAACCACTTGAGATGGTCGTTATAAGCGCACCAGATCTTCTCACCTATCTTATCTCTTGCTCTGGTCGCTTCTTCCATTCTCTGGAAAGCCATTAACTCAACATTAAAATCATATTTTCCGTGGTGGTCTACAAAACTGTATGAAACTGAAGTTGTTAGCACAATTATTCCTAATTCTGCAAGTTGTCTTCCTGCTGACATTTTACTTTCTTTTTAAGTGATCGTACATGATCCTGGAATCAGGGCGTTTCCTCTTTTTTAACTTTCGCGCACTTACTTCGTAAGAAGAGAAAGCATTGTAATCGTGCGCCGGAGAACGGCAAATTTTCAACAGTAAAACTCTTATTGTCGGACCCTGGTAACGGTAAAGTGGATAAATCGTATTCCTCTATAGTAAATTACTTCCTGTAACACGTTGTGACAGAATGCATTTTTTGTGCGCCCTTCATACTGAAAAAAAGCGATTGACTGTAAAACGTTTATTTGTGGTCAACGCTAGCACCTAAACTGGTCAGTCTATTTTCCTCAAAACTGGTATTCCTTGATCGATTTAAATAACCTCGAGGTCCCCTGAGTTTGAAACAGATATTTTGATTTTGGGGGGATACTTATAGAAAACCTCAACATTTTCAAATTTTTCTTTAATGATTTTCTCTAATTGATCCATTTTTTTTATTAAAAACCTAGGATAGCATAAAATACACCGAAGAAAAAGTTGATCACAATTTCGTCGAAATCTTTGATTTTTTAAAAATTGCAAATGCGAAATTTTTTCTGCATCTTCCGACAACTTCAATATTGGAGATATATTTTTTTCCTGAATTAAATCTGTTCTTTAAAGACATATCCTGAAATAATGTTATGTACAATCATTCGAAAATAAGTGTCTTTCTCTTAATTTTGCGTGAAAGGCAATTTTCACGCAATTTCAGGTAATTTTTATTTTTAAACATTTTTTTTCAAAACCGTCTCAACATTTTTTTATTTAAACTTTCTCCTCGAATGTATCAAAAGAAAAAAGGCCAAAAGGAGCGAGGTACCTGTCGCTGGCGCTCCTTGCAGGTGGCGCTGATCTGCGCCTGCAGCTGGCGGTGCACGGCGGCCACCCGCTCCTCCTCCTGGTCCGTGGCGTGGCGCAGGCGCTGCGAGCGCCGGAAGTCCTCGATCGACTCCAGGTTGGCCTTGCGGCACGCCTCCTGCCGCACCTTGGCCTGCCGCACGCCGCCACTCGCTTAGTCCACGCACTACGGGCTCAAAAGGACTCTCCGAAAACAATTTTTTTCTTACTGATACGTTCTTCTTTTAATGTCATACACTGATTAGTGCGTAGGCTAGTCTCCGAAGCCCCTAGCGCATTCTTGTGAGACGTATCCTTAACAATTATACCTAGGGTAGTTTGCCATTGTTTTCCTAGGAGCGTTAGTGCGCCAATTTTGACGTTCGATTTAAATACCAGATAGCGCAGGGCAAGATACAATACGTACCCGCAATATTATTCGGTAATTCAAATCGAAACTCTGATTGGTGCTAAATGGCTCGAGGATTTAATTTTGCCGGGATCGGTCAAGTGCCTTTCCTGGGATCGGGTTTACATGCCGACAAGCGTCCGCATGCATGTGATCGTGCCTCAAAAATCCCCCGACTTCGACCGCGTTTAAACCCGTGAACTTGGCGTCAGTAGCCAGACATGACGACATCTATACTACCAAAGCCGGTACTCTTACGTCGTTGATTGTTATTGTCTTTCGATACGAAGCTCGATATGTCATGCATAACTTACTTGAATCGAGAGTATTGTGGTTTCGAGAGAAATACGAAAACATTTGAATAATGATGCACGCTCTTACGAAGGTAATTATGAAAGAGAAATATTAAAAGTCAGTCAAATTAACATAAAGTTAGTAAACAAGAATAATTAAAATTAAGTCAAAAATAAAATCATAATGTACCACGCGCGTTAACCGGTTCTAATGACCTCGGGCGACAAAAAGCCTTCGGGCCAAAGGCAAATCCACTAACTGACGAAGCACAAGAAGATATTGCAGGCTGTACAAATACAAACGAAGTTCCTGGGGCAGTGCATGTTCATTACATTTCTCAAAGGGACAATCAAAACAATCTGTCCAGGAAGTCCCCCAATATTTTGTGAAAAATGTAATATTACACTCTGCTAGAAGTGTTTTCATTCCCATCACACCAAATAACATTTTTCCGATGTGAATTGAACATCACTCGACTATTTTTGTTTCCTATTATTATGAAGTGTTTGTATTTTTTGTTTAAAACATTAATAATGATAATTGTTACAAATATTGCCATTATTAGAACGAAAACGAAACAAATGCGTTCATATTTCCTTCATTATTGATTGAACTCCATGCGCCGTCGAAAGAACTTGTAATTGCCCAGCATTTTATCACATACGAGTGCGCACCATTCCAGAAGCATTACATATCCATTCTAGAGGCCCCATTAACCAGATGCTCGACAGCATGTCACATGGGTCCGCGCACTCACACGTGGACACCTGCGTTGCTGATCGCTGGATGCCACGCGTCCTTGCAGAAACTCTCCTGGCCACCTCACGACTGTGCATGTCTGGTATGGAAGGGCTTTATTCCCCAGGGCTGCTACCAATTCCCTGTGACATTCTCGTACATTTCTCCCGCGGAGAACGGCTGGCTTCGAGAAGGTGCTGCTCGAAACATGTTACATACACACACGCGGATCCACGGGGACAGAAATGTGAGAAATTTCTTCCCTAAAGTTTTTCAGTAACTATTGATTTTAACTTGTCACGAAACTTTCAAGAACAAATGTTTGCGGATTATCATTAAAACGAATAAAATCGTATTTCTGCACGAGATGAATGTAGCCTGCGAAATTTTACAAAATATACAATGACACATTCGAGCAAAACATTTTTAATTTTCCCTCTCAAAATTTGTCTCTGGGTCGGCCCCAGCATACATCTCGCATGACGATAGTTGGAGATCTTATTTCACGTTGCTTTCTGTACTAATAGACACTCAGAGAACCATCTGTGGATGTGAACAGACTCTACAGCAGCACTTATTTCACTGTACAAATGAAATTGTGCGGACCGATATCATTTCTTTTAGAAAAAAAAAACAACCGATTTGCATGACTTCTGCCCCAACCCTTGTATAATTCCCCTAAGTGTTTCGCTCTCTACGAGACGTGGTGTGAGTGTGTGAGTATGTGAGTATGTGAGTGTGTGAGTGTGTGTGTGTGTGTGTGTGTGTGAGTGTGTGTGTGAGTGTGTGTGTGTGTGAGTGTGTGTGTGTGAGTGTGAGTGTGTGTGTGTGTGAGTGTGTGTGAGTGTGTGTGTGAGTGTGTGTGTGTGAGTGTGTGTGTGAGTGAGTGAGTGTGTGTGTGTGTGTGTGTGTGTGAGTGAGTGTGTGTGTGTGTGTGTGTGTGCACTTACGCCCTCCTTGTGCAGCGCCTTGGCCGCCTCCTCCTCGAGGCGCATGGCGTCCAGCTGCTGCCGCTCCTTTTCCAGGCGGCCCTGCACCGCGCGCCGCTCCTCCGCGTTGTCCTCCAGCCTACGCACGCGCACACACACCTCACACGCACGCCTGCGCACTCACAAACACGTCACAGGTCTCCACACAAACAGCACCGAACACACACATACACCACTCAAACACATGCTACCACACACACACCGACTTCGCAGGTTCAGTCCATCAATTGATGTCACTGCAGTTCATACGACCGGGAGGTCCAAGGGTTCGACACCCTTGTTGGCGGGACTTCCTGCCAGCTGCTCTGAAAATGGTTCTATGAGGTTCCTCCGATCAACAATAGGCGATTGCCGAATATGCCGGATCTTAGAAACAAGCCATGGACAGCGCGTGATATTTCGTTCTTCTTCTTTCTTCTATCCTAACCCCTCACACACACGCGCCTTACACTACCACACATGTCGGGCTACCAGTCGGGACCTTCGTGCTTGTCCCGGCTGGGGCGGTGCCTCCTTGGTGGAAGATACCTGGTTGGAGAAACTCCCCGTTAGCCGACTTAGGTTCGTGCTGGATCACGCCATCCAGCGGGGTATTACCGTTACCTCTCGTAGAAAAACATGCCTTACACGTGCGGAACCTTAGCAGTTGACCCCCGAGGAATCACTAATCAATCCCACATCCACGATCCGCGTTCTGTCACTTACTGAGGTACGAAAGTGAGAGTGTATGGAAGAGAATTGCGGCGGTGGGAGACTCACTGCTTGAAGAGCGCGTCCCTGTAGGCGCAGCGGCGCTGCGTGGCCACCTCCTGCTTGTGGCGCTGCACCTCGTCCTGGCGCGCCCAGTCGCCCTCGATGCGCTCCTTCCACGCGCGCTCGAAGCGGTCCTGCGCCTCGCGCAGCTGCGCCTCGAACGCCACCTGCGCGCGCCGCTCGCGCAGCGTCTGCCAACACACACGCGCACGCGCTCACGCTCAGCCTCGGGGGCAGCAGGAGGGGAAGGTGAGGTGCTCTGGTGGAAGGAAGGAGGAGTTGCGGTGGAAGGAAGGAGGAGTGGCGGTGGAAGGAAGGAGGAGTTGCGGTGGAAGGAAGGAGGAGTTGCGGTGGAAGGAAGGAGGAGTTGCGGTGGAAGGAAGGAGGAGTTGCGGTGGAAGGAAGGAGGAGTGGCGGTGGAAGGAAGGAGGAGTGGCGGTGGAAGGAAGGAGGAGTTGCGGTGAAAGAGGGGAGATGAAGTCGTAGGATTCCACGGCCAGATTCCTGGGAGTGCTTTAGTTGACCGGGTGGTGCCGTATCGAAGGCTGTGATGCCGAAGTTTCTATCATGTTGTGAAGGTCTTCCTTTGCAGACCAGCCCTGAGGAAGGCCACGACAAAGTGATCGAAACGTCGGCAACACATTTTCAATACGGCACCGCCCATCAAGCCAAGATACATTGCGGTCTCGTAACCTGTCATCGTTCATTTGCAATAATGCATCTCGGCTGAAACCGCAAAGATAAAAAAACGTGAGAGAGAAAAATACCTCTGCGAAGAGGAGGGCGGAGTCGAGCTGTCGGCGGCCGGGGTTGTTGCGCTGCGCGAGCAGCTCCCGGCAGCGCTGCAGGATCTGCAGGTGCTGCTGCTTGCGCTCCTCGGTGGCCCTGCGGCCGTCGCTCTCGCGACGCGCCTTGGCCGCCTGCGCGCGCAGCTCGCCCTTCGCCGCCAGCCGCACGTGCTCCTGCGCACGCGCACACCCGCTCGTCGACCCTCGCCTCGCCATCGGTCACACCGGCTCAACATCACTCGGGGAGGCTCACCATCCCTTTCAACCGCTCCCCACCGCTCCCCACCGCTCCCCCCGCTCCCCACCGTATCCCAACGCATCCAACCGCTTCCCACCGCTTCCCACCGCTTCCCACCGCTTCCCACCGCTTCCCACCGCTTCCCACCGCTTTCCACCGCTTCCCACCGCTTCCCACCGCTTCCCACCGCTTCCCACCGCTTCGCACCGTTAGCCATCATTAGCCACCACACCCCACGGCAACCATCCTTCACGTAACCTTCACTTACCCTCACTTACCTACGATCACCACTACGTGCCATCACTCATCACCCCCACGCACATTCACCGACCTATGCTGTTCATTACTTACTCCACTAATCCTTACCCTTACTCACTTTCACCCACGCATCTCGCTCATCTCAATTCTCCAACAGGTGAGAAAAAGTCCCTATATTTTATCTTTCAATTGCGAAATATATTTGCTGAATTTAAAGAATCATTGAATTACACTGCGTAAATATTACCTAAATCTGTTTAAAGAGAAATTGTTAGTTTTTCCTTTGCGTTAAACAGTCTGTATGACCCAACGCTCAGGTGACATAAAGAGGATTCGCTTTGCAAATGATCTTTTTTGAAGTGCCATATATGTGAGTCATTAAACTAAATCAAGACTTGGGCCTTTTTGGTCACATCTACTGTGCGAGGCCGTGTGCAGTGGGTAGGGAGAGATAGCACCGACGCATCTGCTGCGTGTGCAGTGGGGAGGGAGTGGGGATATTCGTATGGGCTCATCTGCTGCGTGAAGGCACTAAGTGAAGAGAGGGGTGCTGTCTCATCTGCGCGAGGCCGTGGGATGAGGGTGGGGAGCAGCGGTGCTAGCTCATCTGCTGCGCGAGGGCGTGCGCGGAGGGTGGGGAGCAGCGGTGCTAGCTCATCTGCTGCGCGAGGGCGTGGGCGGAGGGTGGGGGGCAGCGGTGCCAGCTCATCTGCTGCGCAAGGGCGTGGGCGGAGGGTGGGGAGCACGGTCTAGCTCATCTGCTGCGCAGAGGGCGTGGCGGAGGGTGGGGTGCACAGCGGGTTAGCTAGTCTGCGCTGCGAGGGCGTGGCGGAGGGTGGGGAGCGCAGCGGTGCTAGCCTCATTGTGCGCGAAGGCCGTGCCGCGGAGGGTGGGTGAGCAGCAGGTGCTAGTCATGCTTGCTGCGCAAGGGTTGTGCGGAGGGTTGGGGTGCAGCGGGGCTAGCTATCTTATTTTAGCTGCGGGCGTCGAGTGCGTGGCGGAGGGGTGGGAGCAGCGGTGCTAGCTCATCTGCTGGCGAGGGCGTGCCGCGGGGAGGGTGGGGAGCACGGTGCTAGCTCCATCTGCTGCGGCCAAAGGGCGTGGTGCCCGGGGTGGGGATGCAAGCCGCGGCGGCGTAGCCTTCATCTGCCTGCGCGAAGGGGTGGCGCGAGGAGGTGGGGAGAGCAGCGTTAGCCCTCATCTGCTGCAGGAAGGAGCGTGCGCGGAGGGTGGGGAGAACAAAACAAGTGGTGCAAAGATAGCCATCTAAGTCGGGAAGGGGCGGAGTAAGACAAGTCGCTACGCTCAAAAATCATTGCTGCCTAAGCAGATCCGGAGTGGGGAGCGCTAGTTAGCCTACAAAGTATTGCAACGGGGCGTAGGCGGAGGGGGCCGGTGCTAGGTCATCTGCTGCGCAAGGGCGTGGGGCGGAAGGGTGGGGAAGCGCCCGTGGCTAGCTTCATCTGCTGCGCGAGGGCCGTGTGCGGAGGGTGGGGTGCAGCGTGCTAAGCCTCTCTGCTGCGCAAGGCGTGCGCGGGGGGTGGGGAGCGCTGGTGCCGTAGCTTTCATCTGGCTGCGCAAGGGCGTGGGAGGGAGGGTGGGGAAGCAGCGGGGCTAAGCGCTGCATCCTGCTGTGCGAGCTGCGCGATGCGGCAGCGGTGTAGCACCTGTGCCAGGGCTGCGAGGGGAGGCGCGTGCTAGCTCATCTGCTGCGCCAAGGGCGTGGCGAGGGTGGGTTGCAGCGCGGCTAGCTCATCTGCTTGCGCAGAGGCGTGGGCGGAGGTGGGGAGCACCGGGTGGCTAGCCTCATCTGCCTGCGGCATAGGGGTGCGGGCGGAGGGTGGGGCAGGCCGGTGCCTAAGCTCATCTTGCCTGTCCGAGGGCCGTTGCCGCGGAGGGTGCGCGGAAGGCAGCGGGCTGACCTCATCTGCTGGCGAGGGCGTGCGCGGAGGGTGGGGACGCAAAAGGAAGGAGCTAGTAAACGAACAGGACGCAGCAGTATAAAGCAACCAAAGCAGGAGCCGTCCGAGCAGCGGTGCTACGCTCATTTGCTGTGCGAGGGCGTGCACGAG